GGAAACGCAAGTAAAAGTAATTTATTGTTTTATCATTATTCGTTTCACGTTGTAGTTCTTCTTCTTCACTTGCCGCTTGATCGGTCCGTCGGAAAATAGAGTCCCGCGGACACTTCTGTTGTGGCTTGTTTTTGGTGTGTTGTGTCTTTATTGGTTTGTTGTGGCTTTTTGGTGTGTTGTGGCTTTTTTGGTGTGTTGTGTCTTTTTTGGTGTGTTGTGGCTTTTTGGTGTGTTGTGGCTTTTTTTTGGTGTGTTGTGGCTTTTTTGGTTTGTTGTGGCTTTTTTGGTTTGTTGTGGCTTTTTTGGTTTGTTGTGGCTTTTTTGGTGTGTTGTGGCTTTTTTGTGTGTTGTGGCATTTTTTGGTGTGTTGTGTCTTTTTTTTGGTTGTTTGTGGCTTTTTTGGTTTGTTGTGGCTTTTTTGGTTTATTGTGGCTTTTTTGGTTTGTTGTGGCTTTTTTGTGTGTTGCGGCTTTTTTTGGTGTGTTGCGGCTTTTTGGTGTGTTTGTGGCTTTTTTGGTGTGTTGTGGCTTTTTTTGGTGTGTTGTGGCATTTGTATTTGTTGCGGCGTTTGCGTTTGTCGTGACCCCTCTCGGCTTCCGTACCAACTTGTTCTAGAGTTAATTTAACATTTTTGGAAATATGAATTCAGTCACTCTGGACCAAAGTTCCAGTTTAAACCCAAATCCAGAGTTCATGATCAAATATGTTCAGTGATGATCACATGTGTCAGTTTGATTTGTATAACATGGTGCATCGATAAACGGAAAACGGTTTATGTACTGTTCCCGTCTAAGGTCGTGACTCTTATTTTCACTCAGTTTCTTTGCGACGGCTGAAATGAGTTGTTCTCTGGAAGTTTTGTTTGGTAAAGGAGCTGGAGAAAAAAGGCTGGAGACTCCTGTTCCAGAACAGCAGGACTCACAGAATCAAACCCACAGGGACACGGGGAGGGCATCTGACACACGGGGAGGGCATCTGACACACGGGGAGGGCATCTGACACTTTAATAATCTCAGTCTTTGTCATTTGCTGAGTGCTCGTTCTAATTACACTCTGGATATTAGTGCGATTAGGACGAAAAGTGAATCATGGAAAATGGAGCGTTTGGCATCAGCAGCAAACGACCTCGGACAGAAACGACCCACTGACTCTCGTCTCAAACTAAAACAAACTTAAAGGTTGAACAGAGGAGAAAGACAGCGACAGTCCTTTTTTCAAATGTTGTGCATGAGTGACTCCTCCTCCCGCCTCTTTACGCTACATCACAGGTGTCAAACATAAGGCCCAGGGGCCAGATCCGGCCCTCCAAGACCTTTAATCTGGCCCTTGGGTGATTTTCTACTAAAATATTTGAATGATATTTTCTATTAAAATGGTGTTAATTTTGTGTGGTGTTTATCACAGCAGCGTCTCCAGTGTCTCTGTACGTGGCCCCTCCCACCAGAGCAGCACAAATGAAGACTTGTCTCTTTCCAAACGCTCTTAAAGGACGATCGTTTTGACTGTTGACCGTGACACCCTCATCAGAAAAATGTCCAACATGAGAAAAGTGGAGCCGAGTGCAGGATTTTACAACAAAAATGGACTTATTCCTGTTTACAGACAAGTTCATGTTAAAATGTTGAAATTGCATTTGTCTTAAAGTTTCAGGTTGTTCATAATATTATAATATTTTGTAAAAGAAAGAGTTCATCAATTCAAAAAAGATTTCTGTAATAGATTTGTGTTTCTCTGCATAAATATTTGAACTTCTTGTTATTTTTGGGGTTTATATGACATGAGTTTTCTGATCCGGACACTTTGGATCAAAGTCGGTTGGACACGACGCCCGGAACAAAATGAGTTTGACTCTCCTGGTCTAGAGTCACGTTTGTTTACATCCAGTGTGTGTCCAGAATTAATGTTGAAGATTCCTGTTTAGAAATATTTTAACGACCGATGCGTCAGTTTTTAGACCCTTCGTCTGCTTCAGTTGCGCCATCGCTGGAAAAAATCTCCAAGAATCACCTCAGTGTGGTTTTGCTCTTTTCTCCTTCTCTTCTTCTTTCATCGACCTCAAAAACCGACTTTCTTTTGCGGTGAACTGGTCGTTGATTCTCGTCCAACATCGCAACAAACTTTGTGTGAATTGCGAGGAAGCGACAGTTTGAAAAATCCTCTACGAACCGCTGCGTGAACCACATAATCCCCGAGCGCCGACGAGTCACTTACACTAGAAACGAAGGGAGTTTGATTGACGACCAAACAGCCAATAGAAAATGAGGGAGCCTCATTTTCTATTGGCTGATGTTTCTCTGGCCTCAACACGTCCACAGGTCATAGATTTTCTTTTTTTTTTTTTTTTGGTCATCATAATTACAAAGCTTCTGCGTCTCTGTAACGGTTTTTTAAACTTTCAATGACAATTTGAAACAAAAAAAAAATCCTCCATACGAACTTTAAGATTATTCACAGATTTCACTCCAAAAATGTGGTGAAGTTTATCATTCTTCAGCCTGTG